TCTTAGCTCATTTGCAACATGCTAATAGTATGTCCTACCTTTCAGGACTACGAGACTATGATAATATTCGTGAAGCTCTGGAATATTTGATATATGCATTATATAAATACTAAATCGTCTACTGAAGAAAAGGGCAATTGCTCTCATAATGGCAGGCACTAATCTAGTCATAGCAGTCTGCTTTCCTCTACTTTCTGTGAAATGTTTCTGTGCACTGTGAATGATTAAGTTACAGTACTAAATGTAAAAAGCATGATATGGTACTCTAGCTTTTGCAATCTATGTATCCCTACCGACAATTTCATTTGATGCAGATATTTCAATTTATTTTTACTGCCAATGTGATTTGAAACTGTACTACTGAAATACATTAGTAGGAGGCCAGCTAGAGAGGCAATTGGACCATTGGATAACAAGGAAGTCAAATATGTCAACTGGTGTTCTAGGCCTAATGGACACAATAAAAACCAACAAATTGCTGAGTCCAGCTGGCATCCACCAGAGAATTCTTTGAGAACTCAAATGTGGAATTGCTCATTCTCTAACAAAAACGTATAATTTGTCCTTAAGATCCACCTCCATACGTGAGAAATGGAAAATGGCCACTGTAACACCATTTTAAAAGGGGGGGATCTGGGGAGGGGGTCTTGGAACTTACAGGCCAATTAGCTTAATTAGCTTATTGCCTGTCCCAGAAAAACTAGTGAAAAGCATAGTTAAAGATGAAATAATCAAGCATATAGAAGAACAAGCTTTGTTGAAGCAGAACCAGCATGGCTTCTGCATGAACCTATTAGACAATTCTTTGATAGTGTCAACAAGCATATTGTTACAGGCCACCCCAATCTCTACCAAGCAGTAGCAAGACTCCAGGAGGCTTGGCAATTAACCAGAGTTTATGTTACTTTTAAATGAGGCACTGTGGAGACTAGAATGGTTTATTCTACACATATTTACCACTGAGTATTGAGGGAGGGAGTGCAGAACATTACACCACAAGAGACCCTCTCATAGTTTCAGAAAGCTTGGTGCAGCTGGCGACACATGGAGTTATTCCCTCCCCCCCCACTTCCTCCAGCCCTCTGTTTTTTAAAAGGATGCACTTTTTCCTGTGTGACATCACACCCTCTGTTACCCTGGCAACCTCCCCCTCACAGCTTGCATCATCAAATCTTGAACCTGAAGTTGTCTCTGCTCACCATCCCCTCATGGGAGAAGGGGTTCACGCTCCTCTGCTGCCCAGCACAAGGGGACTGTTTTTGTCAACTGCCCATTAATTTCCTTTGTACTGCATGATGGTTCTTCTCCCCAGCCAATTCCTGGCCAGGAAGCTGATTCAGCCTTCATTTTTTACACTGCTAAGCTGTCTCACACCTGGTTGAAAACTTCGAGCATTTAGCTATCTCCTCCATTTACTAACTCTACAGCAGCCATATTTGATCCCTTAATATATCAAATTCTTTCTCCCCATCAGCTGATGTTGTTTGCTTTAAAAACAAAAACAAACCCTGTGTGGTGATTACAAACCCTGTGTGGTGATTAACGCCATGTTTCCTTCAGCCCCAATAAACAAAGCTGGCACAGTTGATGATGATGCCATGAATATAGGGCCACATTCTAATGCTTTGTTGAACAATTTTATGAAAAATCAATGGACAACTGATAGGGTTTGAGTCCCAATTTTTAGAATTGCCTCATATCAATTATGGATGCTTTAACAGTCCTCAAGGTTATCTTTTAGCTGTAAAATGAAAAGCAATGTAGCAAAGAGCACAGTTAGACATTGTACCTTTGGCAAGTTGGAAACAAATGGTTTTTTGAAGCATGGACAGCTGCTTAGCCCATCTGTGCGTAGCCTCTATTAATTGGATTTTATGTCAAAACAACTTTTTAGTAAATTGCCTTAAAAATATAATTGTAGCAGTTGCTGCTTCTGTGACAGGTAATGCTATCAAGCAACATGTTTTAGTTGCTTTACATATTGACCGCATGGCAGCCTCCTCCATATTGGCTCTCTGTTCACACCACTTCAGTCAGAAATGCTAAGACAAATAAATTTAGACACTAAAATAATATAATAAGTGTTAAAATATATCAACATTTGTGATTTTCAATCTGTTTCAGTAATTTTCTTGATGTGAAAAACCATCAATGTTCCTTTGCTACCAGCATAACTGTACTGGTGTGCACCAGCTTAAAATGGTTGTATTTATCGCCTCAAATTATGAGCAGTGAATTGGAAAGTAATGGAAAATGCTAAGAAAAGAAATGGATTGCAATTTACAGATTGGGGGGTGAGGAGAGGTAAATCTACTTCATGATAGCTTGTGCAAGTAAGAATGGAAGGAGTTGATGAATACATAAACTCATAGAGCAAATAAATACATCTACTGTATGCTATTGCACTTTTATTTCCTCCCTAGCTATAAAATTCAAAGGGGGAGGGGAAATCTAACCTCTGGTACATAATAGCAAACATTTTGTCTCATGAATATTTGAATGCTATTAATAACATGAATGATTTATGCTTCCTGTATTTAATCAATTAATAAAACATTGAAACAGAAAGAACTAAATATTCACTTAGTCAAGTCATCTGAGGAGACAGAGAGGTCAGAGAGGGCCTTGAAAGAGGGATTCTACTCAAATACCTCCAGAGGCTTACAGACAGCTTCAAAAATATACACTCCTGTATTTTGTACCATTGCTTTTGAATTATGGTGCTGGAGGAGACTCTTGAGAGTCCCATGGACTGCAAGAAGATCAAACCTCTCCATTCTTAAGGAAATCAGCCCTGAGTGCTCACTGGAAGGACAGATCATGAAGCTGAGGCTCTAGTACTTTGGCCAAATCATGAGAAGAGAAGACTCCTTGGAAAAGACCCTGATGTTGGGAAAGATGGAGGGCACAAGGAGAAGGGGACGACAGAGGACGAGATGGTTGGATAGTGTTCTCAAAGCTACCAGCATGAGTTTGACTAAACTGCGGGAGGCAGTGGAAGACAGAAGTGCCTGGCGTGCTCTGGTCCATGGGGTCACGAAGAGTCGGACACGACTAAACGAATAAACAACAACAACAACAATTTTGTACCATCTAATCAAGAACCTCATACGTCTTGGAAGCCCGTTAGGAATTAAGGAGTGTAGGGTCAACCAAAGCACAGTTGTTTCCTCATTTCCTCTTTGGGGAATCAAGAGCTGATTGTGCAGATTTGGTGCTATGTTTGCCCCCCTCTCAAGCCATCATCTTGAATGTAAAGCCATGTTAAGAAAAAAAAAATGGTCATCAATGAAAGTCAAAGCCCATGACTCTGGGGAATGTTTTTGTTCAGATATGTGTTTGAACAATGGTCGGGGGGGGCATGGTCATCAATTATTCTTTTTTTTATAGGATTAGTTTCCATTTTTGAGGCCTCAGGATGTGCATATGATGCTGTTATGGTACAGCCTACTACTTGCCCTCTTGATTCCTGTCCATCATAATTGATTAAAGGTAGCATTCAGGGTTGACCAGACTCAGACTAGAAACCTTGTACAGCTCCTCAGCTGATAACACTCTAGCCTCCAATTCCGCCCTGGTTCCTACTGGAATATGGGGTCATCTAGAGACATAGGTCTTGTGGTGATTTTGTTTTCTAGATTTGGTGAATTCAATCAATGGTGTGGTAGTTGTTGTTGTTTAGTCATTTAGTTGTGTCCGACTCTTCGTGACCCCATGGACCAGAGCATGCCAGGCACTCTTGTCTTCCACTGCCTCCCGCAGTTTGGTCAAATTCATGCTGGTAGCTTCGAGAACACTGTCCAACCATCGGTGTGGTAGTATCCAGAGTTTAAATATACAGAAACCCAAGGCTAACTTGTTCCATCCACTTGGCCAAAGTCACTCTTAATTATGTGAGATATTCAAGTTTCTAGAGAGCTGCACTGAAGAGCTTAAATATTTTGGCAACGTGTCATAGTGTTCAAGTGAAATGCATTCATAGCAACAATTAGTAGTGAGAGATATTTTGGTTCTGGAAAATCCTTTAAATACACATTGAACCTTAAATGGAATATTTAAAATGGAAACTTAATAACCTATTATAAAAAGGGGACAATTAAAATTTTCTCACTTTTTTGAACCAATTAGTCCAAATAGTAATTGAAAATAGTAACAGAAAAGTTTTATGAAAATCTAGTGATCATTTTTAGCACAAGTATTACCTCCTTTTTCAAAGTAATTTCAAAATGATGAAAAGCTATTTTTGGTTTATACCTGAAACAGTTAACTCTAAATTAATTTGCTTGCATAGGATGATACCAGGCCAAGAATCTGTCTTTTATACAGAACAACCCTTCTTTTGTCTACAAATATGTTTAAGGATATTTTTGTAATGCTTTTGTTAAAGCATATAAAACGGCTAATGCTCTAAGACAAATCAGCTTAGAACAGAGCAGTGGAAACCATTTTAGAACCGCTTTAACTCAAATGTACAGTGGTACCTTGGGTTAAGAACTTAATTTGTTCTAGAGGTCCTTCTTAACCTGAAACTGTTCTTAACCTGAGGTACCACTTTAGCTAATGGGGCCTCCCGCTGCTGCCGCCGCCCGAATTCTGTTCTCATCCTGAAGCAAAGTTCTTAACCCAAGATACTCTTTCTGGGTTAGCGGAGTCTGTAACCTGAAGCATCTGTAACCCGAGGTACCACTGTATTGCTTACCAGAAATATAATAAACAAATTAGACAATTAAAACTAATTCACTTATCAGTAGGCTTGCCAAATGATCACAAAATACTTAACCAGGCCTGTTACAGCTGCTTGGTATACACATGAATTCCTCCTCCCTGCTTAGCATAGACCTCTATCTGGAAAGAGCAGGGCAAAGGGTATGTGTGGATAACCCCCAAGTCTCCATGCACCTCCCTGTTTCACAGAAACACCATCTGAAATCACAGAATTGTAGAGTTGGACACGACCCCAAGGATCATCTAGTCCAGCCCCCTACAATGCAAGAATCTTTTGCCCAATGTGGGGCTTGAACCCAGGACCCTGAGATCAAGAGTCTCATGCTCTACCAACTGAGCTATCCCAGGCATAGGCAGCCTTGGAAACCGGAGGTCCTAAAAAGAGCATCAGAGGCACTCTGTATCTTGGTGGGTTGGGGGCCGCCTGCTGTATTAGATGGTTTGGGAGACTTGCGGTGTGCATAAAATCTGCAAGGAAGAGCTTCTGTTCTCTCTGTGCTTGAAGCAAGGAGGGCAACACCAAAGCCCAAACTATGTAAGCACATCAGTACCCAAATTTCCCAAACAGGTTGAAAGTTAATTATGTGACCCCTGATGTTTAATATATCTTTCTAAACTAAAAGTTATGCTACATAAATTATGTGTAAGATTATGTTTATTGAGATAAGCAATGGGTATGAAAACACTGCATTTTTACTGTTGGTTAAGATAAATTATGTTAGCTGCTAGCATGCGGTTTCGGAAGATTTATAGCTGCATCAGTTTTCTATTTACAGCTGAGTGCAATGCAACTGCTTTCGGTATGCTTACTCACTCTACATATTCAAATACAAATTGCATTACAAAATCAAATAAGCAGGAATATTCCTCTCAGCACTGTGATGCTAGTTGACGAAATCAATTCAGGCAATGTGGTCGCCATATGAAGATTACCTTGTGCTCTCTGCTAGGGATGGGGAGAAATTTGGCTTGGTTTGCATTTTAACACAAACATAACTAATTCACACTCTCCCAAACAATACACCAGCCACTACCCTTCAAAATTCACGTCTCTGAATTTCGCAATGCAATTCTCCAGGCAAAAAAGGGAAAAAAGTGTGCAGAAAACATATATATTACAGGGAAGTGCATTTAAAAATGCATATATCTGTGAAGGCGAGCTATAGAGAGATGTATTATATTTGTGCAGGGGGTGGGGGGGTCCAGGAAAAATCCCAGAGCAGCTTGTAGGGGAGAGGGAAGATCTTTCCATCTGGCAAGCATGACAGGATTATCGTCTTGGTGTGCTGTTGATTTCCTCGCTGTGGTGGCCTGGGACTCGGGCTCAGATTCAGAACCAGAGGAGTCTCAGTCTGCACCAGATCCTTTGCCTCAGGCATCATCTGAACCAAGTCTGGGGCCTGATCCTGAAGAGTCTCAGTCTGCACAGGTTCCCCTGCAACAAACACCAGCTGGGCTGAGTCAGGGGACTGAGCCTGCCCTGGCTCCACATGCGGGGATTACCTCGTTGCCTTCAGCTGGGCCATCACTTAAACTGCTCCACTACCGGTTGGGTCAGGGAAGGCTGAGGTGACCCCTGGGTCTAGTAACCCACCGACATCTCCCGAGCTGCAGAGACTAAGGTCTGAGAGAAGGAGAGACCTGAGCACTCGCAGGAGGAGTGTTCACCTTCGGGTGAAACAGGGAGGTGAGTCGCCGGGGGATCAGGACCGGCCATTACCCTGACAAAGATAAAAGGATGTCAGACCCTGTCCCAGGTTGTGGGAGCAACATTGCTGTATGCTAGATCCTGCCCAAGATCCTATACCTGTCCTTGCCTGGTGTCCTGCCTCATGTTCTGCCTTGGCCCTGTCGGTCTGACTCCTAGTGGAACCTTCGGATTCTGGACAGGTCCTGGACTGCATTTCACAGGTTAACCCCAGGCACAGCACACTTCCATAGGATCACACAGGCTAGCCCTGCCCACAACTGACACTACATGTTGTCATGCTCCCCCCCCCCAATGTCCACACTCTGAATATTGGAAGCAGTTTTATGTATGCACAGTTTATATGAGCAGAGCTCCGCCATATGAGGAGGACCCTGCACAACTGGGAAGCTCCACCCACTGCATAGAACTCCTTCCAGTGTCTACTGAACATAGAGTTATCAGGGAGCATGGTGGCAGTTACTTGTCTCGGTGGCAGTGGTAGACACCAGTGGAGCATGTGGCCCTGAAGACCCCTCCATGGATTCTTTCAGTGCATGGAGGGTTTCATGTGAGCAGTTACCAAGACAGAAATTGTGGGTATTCTTAGCTACATAAATGTGGTTTCTTCTTTTCCTTTCATTTTACTGCACACTGCGCATCACAGAGATGAAATGAAGTAAAACATATATGCAAAGTAATGTTTTAAGGTGAAGTACTTGCATTATTTCTACAAATTCTGGGAACCTTAGATTAAGGGTAACAACACGCTATGGAGAAAGCAAATAAGTTTCAAGGCAATTGTAAATATGAACCCAAGTAAAGGGGGAGGGCGATGGATTACAATCCTATACCCACTTAGCTGGTTAGACTTACTGATGAGTAGACAAGCACTCTTAATATCACAAACTCCATGTTATAACATATACACACACACCCCAAATTGAGAACTGGAAAGTTAATGTTGTAGAATACGATCCTTGAATTCATGTTTGTTGTTAAAATGAGGGCATTGGCATTGAAGAAAGATGCAAATAGCTCCACCCACCCACCCAGATGAAGTACTATAGCTTCTTGTTGTCTCATATTGCTCACTATAGTTGTGGTCCATGTAGAATAATCTAACATCTATGATTCTTCACCTACCATATATAAGTAGCTTGTGGCTTCCAACCGTAACATTTTGTAGTATAGTATTTGAAAAAGTAATTTTCAGATTCTGGCTGCACGCAAAGTACATTGCAATTATTGTGTGCTACATTCCTGATTATCATGTTACTTTTTCAGCCTGACCAGAAACATCTGTCTTTTTAATGCTCTGTCAGTTTGAATTAACCCTGATCTCTAATTTAACTGTTACACAAGTACCAATAACAACGTTGGGAGGTAGACTTAGATGGAAAAGAAGAGGATCAATATTCCTTTGTGTATGACTTGAAATGTGTGTTAATGTGACAATTAAGACCTCAGATTTATGTGCCTAACAAGCTCTATAAAGATTGATATATGGAGTTGTCCTATACAGAGTGGTTGATCTATGGAGAATCAAAATGGGGCTATAAATCACTGAACAACTATTGACAGGATGCCTACAACATTTTACAAATGAAAATAGGCTTACTTAGCCACTTCTTATGTTACTTAGAAACATACATGTGTACTCTCTGGAGCCTAGTTCCATCCAGAGATATGCAAAAATATGATGCTGGATGTGCCCAGTTCCAGGAGAATGAGCTTTGCCAAGCTATGCCAAGAAGGCATGCCAATGGTTTATGAGTGTTTTTTTATTTGAGCAAAACAAATGGCAAGTATACAAAAGCAAGAACTTCAAAAATATATATATTTCATTTCGAACAAGAGATTATGAACGATGGTTGCATGAGAATGAAAGAACAAAGACCATGTGGACACAAGAAGAGTCCTGTTGAATGAGACTGAAAGACCAAAGCCTTCCAGTGTTTTGAAAGAGGGGAGACAAGTTATCTATATTGATCTACTCTACACTATGCTCATTTTATATCTCCAGTCCCCTGATCATTTTGGTTCACCTTTTTCTGTATCTTTTCCAGCTCAACAAGTTTCTCAAACAGCATTGTTTTAATAGCAAGTTGTCTGATGCCAGGAAAAATTGCAAAATTCAGGCAAATGCATATCAAACTATCAGAGATCGCAAAATAGTTTGATTTATGTATTTCATGATGCCATCTCACTTTGTTCGTTTTTCACAAATTGTTGAGCCCATCCTGTTTCATGGCTCATTCTCCCTTGTGATTTTGATGCTCTTTCTCAAGATTTCATAACTGTTTTTGAAAACTTTGATGTATGTTTTGGAACATGAATTCCAGCCATGAAACAGATAATGTGTAACATAATTTTACATAATTTTATTACAGACATCTGTATGCGGAAAGATTACTATCATAAAGTGCAGCTAATGTAGCAGGATGGATTATTATGGAAATGGTTTTTTAAATTTTTTTTTTTGAAAATAACATTGTCCAGGGCATCATAATCCCACGAATGCCTGCAGAATTTCACTCAATGTGCACTCACTTCAGTGAAGGCATGAAAACAGTGAATTGCGTATTTTGTAAGCAATTTTGAGAAATTTGAATCTTGTTCAAATCCCTATGCATGAGTGCCGTCATGTTCTTAGCTATCAGACAGTCACCCCCCCCTTGATATATATAAAATTCCTGATCCATTAACATCCCATGACATCACAACATAACAGCTATTCAGGGGCAGGGGCTTCATCACCACATATGCAATTCAATATAGATACTGCAACCCCACAATGAATGTGCCTGTTTGCGAATTCTGAAGTGGGTGGGAAAGAGTTTTTCGTAAATATTAACTGACTTACAATTTTCTAAACTTAGGTTGCCACTCATGAAAATAAGAGATAGCATGGATGCACAAAAGAGGGTGCTATACAAGGGTTCATGTCTTGTCAGGAATGAGCCAGCTCCCAGGGAAGGGTTGCAGCCAAATGAAGAAAGCAGCCAGGAACAGACAGGGTTAACTGCCATGCAGGATGAGCATCGGCTAGTGCCAACTCCCCCGCCCCTTGGAATGCCAGTTGATAAGGGAATGGCTGAGAGCATTCAAAGCTTGTCAGAAGCACAAACAGGCGGGAAAGAGTTAAGAAACAGTCTCTCAGAGAATGGGGAAGGGGTGGGAGCTGACCCACTCAGTCTGAGGTCTTGGTGAATGGGAGGGCTGCAAGATGGGAAGCAAAACAAAAGAAGTATGAAGCGAAAGTTCAGTTGCTTCTCGTCACGCCAGAAGCAGTCTTCAGAAGGGTCATCTTGATTGATGATGGTAGAGGCTGTGTTAGAGCCATCCAGAGCTATCTGTTTGTTTTGACAATAAAACATCATTTTTTATTAACTACGCTCACTGTGTTATCAAGCCAGGGACTGGACTCCTGGCATGTCTGTAGGTGTAGAGAAAGAGCAGACGAGTGTGAGCTATGCAGTGGAGAATGTAAAGGAAGGTGGACTGACAGAAGGTGATGCCAGCAAAACCTGTGTTGCAGGAAGATGAAATAAATTGTACTTTAGGGTGCAGAGGGGAAGGAAGGGGAACAATGGAGAGACAAATGTAGCAGGGGCTGGTCCTGTTCCAGTCAGTCAGCCATATTTTCTTCCTCAGTCCTC